TTCCAGTAAAGAAAGTCACACTTGCTTGCTAGCATGCAGCCCTACAATTGCTTTACATTTTCTCTCTCAGTCTAATGTGCCCTCACAGTCAGGCTGGGTGGCTTCTGATTAGGCCTCCTGTCTCCTGGTGGGGCTCTGCTCTCCTGGGCTCTACACCACCTCCCAGCCTCCATCCCTCTTCGCTGCTTGGAACACAAGGTTTATTGTTGGCGGGGCAGGGCGGGGGAGGGGGCGCAGAAAGGGGGGTTTGAGGGGCTGTCAGGGCCAATATTCAGCATATGCTATGGGAACTCTAACAATAATGACAATCATCAGATTCTCTCTTACTTCTCAGGTTTGCACACACAGTACCCTCTTAGAATGTTCAAGGAGTCCTCCTGACCTCAGTTCTCCGTTTAGATACCACTTCCTGGGCGCTTCACATAATCAGAGAGGGAGTTCAAGGAGTCCTACCTGACCTCAGTTCTCCGTTTAGATACCACTTCCTCTGGGAATCCTTTCCTGATATGCCCCCACCCCCACCCCCACCCCACTCCCCACCAAGACTAAACCAGTCCTCCCATCCTACTCTTTCTTCCCCATATAGGAATTCTCACCACAATGTACTTACCACATTCTTGCCAACTTGCCTATATGCCCCCTCAACCCCAATGTGATCAGAATAGGGACTTGCCTCCCTGGTTCTCCACTCTATTCCTAAAGCCTGGCAGCTCTCCCCGCCAAAAATAAAAATTAAAAAATTGTTGAATGCTGTCGAAGGCTAGACACCAAGTGATTTTTATGTATTATCTCATCGCAATCTTAGACGGAAAGGGTTAGTCTTCCCATTTAATAGATGGGGAAAGTAAGGTCAGAGAGGTGAAGTTGTCCAAGGTCACACAACTGGAAGTGGGGTCATCAGGTTGTCAGACTTTAAAGTCTTTATGGTTAATTCCCTGCGCCAGTTGGAGTTCAGTCAGAGAAGCAGAACCACTAGGAGTGATACAGATGAGGGGTTTAAGAATCGGAACTTTCAGCAGCAATTGTTGGAGCTCCTTAAGTGGTCTTTATAAGGCTATCGATGCTGCGTCTGGTGCTGGGGTCTGCAATCTGCAGGGCAGGTAGTTAGGAAGGACAGATGGACGTGAAGTGGAAGAGAGCAAGGACAAACTGGAACCTGTGTGGACCGTCTAGACCCTCCAGGACAGACTGGTGCCTAGAGAATTGCTTGATGGTGGTGGAAAACCCTCCCACCCCCATAGAAATCGGGTGTTCAGAACCTCTTTAGATGGGGAACAGCTTATCACAGTTGTTTGGGACGTAGGGAGGCTAGAAATGGGTAGAGCATATGACAGTGTGCTTCTATTAAAAAATGAAACTACTCATTAGCTCAATACTGTTTTAATGCGTGTAAAGAAATGTAATAAAAACTACATGAGAATGTAAAATAAAACATACTATTCTCTCTGCCTGAACCTCCATGTCTCCATCCTCCCCAGGTTTCACCCTAAACAGACACAGCTTCAAGGAGCCTTCTCTGACCTCCACCCATGCCCACCCCAACTGCATTTACACTTTGTGATACACATCAAAATGTTCATTGAGTGGTTATTTATCTGTGAGTCTTCCCCAAGAGCATGTGGACTCTGCTTTTCCATCATGGTATTTACAGTGCTTACAAGATTATTGGATGTTTAAGAATTATTGACAAACTGGCTAAATGAATCAATCATGAGGAGACAAAAGACTTTGTTTTGGCTGCTGAGTATATTTATAATTTCATTTTGTGAGGTATTGTTGCATGGACATCGTTTAGGCTGTTTTCAAAAGGATCATTGAAAAGAAAATGATTGCATGAACTTACAAGTATCAACTAGAGCATTTCCCCTTGCACTGCAGTTTCACTTTCTGCAGTGTCAATTACCTGCAGTCAACCATGGTCTGAAAATGTTACATGGGAATCCCAGAAATAAACAATTCATAAGTTTTAAATTGCATGCCATTCTGAGTAGTCTCAAACTGTCTGTGAGTCTGCCTGGACATGAATAATCCCTTTGTCCATTGTGCATCCATTAGTCATTCAGTAGCCTTCTGGGTTATCAGATCAACTGTTGTGGTATCTCAGTGCGTGTGTTCAAATAACCCTTATTCACTTAATAATGGCCCCACGCACAAGGGCAGTGATGCTGGCAATTCAGATATGCCAAGGAGAAGCTGTTATAAGTGCTTCATTCAAGTGAAAAGGTGACCGTGCTCAACTTAATAAGAAAGGAAGAAATATCAGTATGCAACCCTGTAAGATCCCTACAACCATAAACACCCAGTCGTGGATAAGAGGATTATCTCCATTTTCCAGAAGAAAGAGAGAGTCTGCATTTCTAACAAGCTCCAACGTGATGCCAGTGCTGTCCCTGGATCACAGTCTGAGTTGCTAGGATCTAGAGCAGTGATGGCGAACCTTTTGAGCTCGGCGTGTCAGCATTTTGAAAAAACCCTAACTTAACTCTGGTGCCGTGTCACATATAGAAATTTTTTGATATTTGCAACCACAGTAAAACAAAGATTTATATTTTTGATATTTATTTTAAATATTTAAATTGCCATTTAACAAAGAAAAATCAACCAAAAAAATGAGTTCGCGTGTCACCTCTGACATAGGTTCGCCATCACTGGTCTAGATCTTCAGCCCTCAATCCTCTGTACTCCCCACCTCCATTCTCTGACTGACTGCTCCTGAATTTGCTCCCCTTCCTACCTAGTGTGAACTCCAAGGGCAGTCATTTCAACCATACCTTGCCCCTGTCTTTCTGGAACAACCACCCTGGCCATCTCCACCCCTGTCCTGATAAAACCTCCCGTCTCCAGTCACAGAGCCATGACAGGACGCCGCGGAACTGCCACTGCTTCTGTAACAACTGTGTGATTTCTGAAGTTAAATCAGCGGCCCTTCTCTTCGTTCCGAGTCAGTTCCCTTCCCCGGGCCTTACTGTAACTGCCTGAATTTAACTGATCTCCTCTATCCCCCGCCCCTCCTTTCAGGACTCAGTGAACAGTGAAAGGAGAACCTTTTCAGGCCTTCGAGAAGTCACCTCTAGCATAGTTAACTGCTGCATACCTTTAAAAAGAATACACTAAAAAATTCAATAATATCATTAAAAATTTCCAACTCTTAGAAAATTCTGCAGACAGAGGTATGAATTAAACTAGATTGTTTCCTTAATAAACAGCTTACAGAGTGATCCAGATGTGTGACACTAGAGTCCTCTTAGCTCTTAAACCTTTCTGTTCTGCGGCCTGGGAGTCACAGGTGGCCTCGGGGCTCCTAAGAGCTCGACTTTACAATAGTATCTGCAACAACAAAAAAAGGGCGGGCACACTCTCCAAGGCACCGTTGAGTCACCGAAGGCACTTTTTAATTTTTTTTTTTATAACTTTGTCATTGTCTTTTGTGCGTTTACTATAAGTTTTTCCTGTGTGGTTGTGGTGAGTTTCACATCGACCATCCTATGGACATGACAAAACCATCTATTTTAAGTTGATAGCAACTTAAATGTGAGCACATTCCAGACTTTATATTTTCACTCCCCAGCACATTTTATGTTTTGATGACCTTTCTACTTACTGTAATACTATGTCTTCCTTCACCAAGGCACTTAAAAAAAAATACCTCCCCTCGGCCTCATAGAGAGACATCCTGTTCAATTCGTAGGGGGTGAGGCCGTGGCGCCACCGTTTTTAACGTGTGGAAGAGGAATGTTATTGCACATCAGTGGTTTCCAAACTTTTTCTATTCATAGGACCCTTGGCACCGAGTCCTTCATTACCTTCCGGTCACAGGTAATGCGTGGCAGGTGTACGCGGTCTCCGCCCGCACCGCAAACTGCCTCAGGTTTGGGGGGAGGCCTCATTCTCCCTAGTGTAAACACAGACCACCCAGCCCTTCCAGAATGAAGGCTTTTAGGGAGAGAGAACGGATATTGACCCAGGAAGTATGAGTGGAGGCAGCACTGGATTTACAAATAGTGGCTCTGCTTTGTTCTGTGTGATCTTCAGCTTTAAATTGACCTCAGATGCAGTCAGCTCTCATACACCACATATATTTGTCGGAAATTTCCCTGGACTCCACACTTGACGACATTTAAAACTCTTACACACATGCTTTCTTAAATCCCACGCGACTGCAGAACAGGGCAGAGGAGCGGGGCGCGGTTGGGGGCGCGGTCCCAGCCTCTCCGGCCGCAGAGACCCGCAAGAGCCGGTGCGGCACCCGGGCACCCCGAGCTCGCGGGGCGCCTCCCGCCGCTCCAGGTGAGCTGGGGGCGCGCCGGCCCCCGAAGCCCAGCGCGGGAAGCCGGCCGAGCTTTGAACATCTCCAAACCCGCAGCAGCTGGAGACACCAAACCCGGGAGCGCCCGGGATCCCGGCAGCGGCGGGAGTGGGAGCAGAGGCAAAGCCTGAGGCCGCCGCCTACCCGCACAGCCCGGCCCAGCGCCGGCGCGCCCAGGTGCAGGGAAGGCGGAGGAGCCCGGGAGGCGCATCTCGGCCCTGCCTCCGAGGGACCCACGGCGCCTGAATGGGCCGGCGGGACATCAGTCAGGCGACAGGGGCGGGTCCTGAGTGCGCCCGCCCCCTGGCCGGGCTATAATCGCCGGCCCCGCGCCGCGCCGTGGGCGGGTGGAGGTGTGCGCGGTGCCGGGGCCAGGCTGAGGGCGCGCGC